TGATCTCTGTCTGTCAAATAAATAAAATCTTTAAAAAAAAAAATAACCAACTAAATATTTAAATATAATAATTTATGGACCAAAAATGGAATTGTAATGGTAATTAGAAAACACTCAAAACTAAACTATAATTAAAACACCAGGGGAGGGGCGCCTGGGTGGCTCAGTGGGTTAAAGCCTCTGCCTTCGGCTCAGGTCATGATCCCAGGGTCCTGGGATCGAGCCCCGCATCGGGCTCTCTGCTCAGCGGGGAGCCTGCTTCCTCCTCTCTCTCTGCCTGCTTCTCTGCCTACTTGTGATCTCTATCTGTCAAATAAATAAAAATAAAATCTTTAAAAAAAAAAAAAAAAGAAAGAAAGAAAGCCCAGAGGAACCGGTCAGATGGCTGACCCCGGAAGACCCTCCTTGTCCTTCCCACGTTCTAATGCCTCAAATTTACCAACAAAGAGTGAATCCATGAATCCCTAGACACCCCACTTATCCCCTAATAAAGGCAGAGCCTCAGGTGCGTGCACCTTCCCTCTCTCTACACCCAGGACCTCACCGTGGGGCCCCGGTCCTGCCACGTAACCCCCAGGACCTATGAGTCATCATCTGGTTCTTTGGAGCTCACTGGTGGCTGTCGCCGAGGTGTATCCTGGGATCATAAGAACTGCAGCACTGGCCCCAGTGGTGGCTGCGAGGCAGATGTCTCTGTGGGGCTCACCACAGTTCGTAGGGGCCCCGGCAAGCACCTTGGGCATTTCTAGGCAACAGCATCGCTGTGGACAGCTAAGCCCCCCACCCCGCAACACCCTGGCTCCACGGGGCTCCCCACTTGTGCCCCCCTCCTGACCTCACACTCTGCTCCCAACCCCCTTCCCCCCGCTACATCCCCCCCAGCTCCTCTCCTTCTGACTCCTCTCCCTCTCTCTCCATCTCCCTCCATCTCTCCTCAGCACATCACTGTTGGGGAGGTAGGCCCTTGTGATCCCAAGGGACACGGTGGAGGACAGGGAGAACCTGACCCAGTCCCTTCCCACCCTACCCCTAGCACTCGGACAGCCAGACCTGCCCCTTCTGCCGCAGAGAGATCAAGGGCCAAGAGGCCGTGAGTATCCAATTCCAAGTGAGGCCAGCGGAAGCCAGGGCCACTGCTGAGCACCTGAGAGATAGCAGTGACCAGGAAGATGGGGAGGAGGAGCTGGGACAGGTGAGCGGGGCCAGGGACTCTTGGGTCTGAGGGAGGAGGTGCTGGGGGCTTGGACTCCTGGGTCTGAGGGGGGCAGCGCTGGGGGCCTCACTTCTAGGTCTGAGGGATAAGGGGGCTTGGGGTCTGGACTCCTGGGGGTGGGGGGGGGGGGGGGCCTTAGGCTCCTGGGTCTGAGGGAGGAGGCTGGGGGCCTAGACTCCTGAGTCTGAGGGAGGAGGGGACTGGACTCCTGGATCTGAGGGGGGAGGAGACTGAAGGCCTCCCTCCTGGGTCTGAGGAGGGGACTGGGGGTCTGGACTCCTGGATCTGAAGGGGGAGGCGGCTGGTGACAGGATTCTGGGGTCCTAGAAGCTGGACCTTTGCTTCTCCCAAGAATCCAGGGCTCTTTCTCCAGCTGTAACCCTCCTAAGGGTTAGGACTTTGCCTTCTCCATTCTATCTCCAAAGCCAGAAGAGTGCCTGAATGCTGGGACTCTGAGCAGAAGGACACGTAGGGGGACAGACAATGGCAGCTTTCAGTCCCGTCCTTACCCTCTGTCTCTCCTAGGTGGTTTCCTCAGCGCCCCCACAGACCCCTCAGCTGAGTGTGTCTCCTGCTAAAGGCCGGATGAAAGTGGTGAGTCAGGCACTGGTCTGAGGTGGGCAGCTCAGGTCTTACTCAGCCCTGGGGTCTCTCAGGGGCCCCAGGCCCAGCACTCATCTTTGCGCCCATTGACAAGGTGCTGGACGATCCTCTACACCCTCTTGTTCTCGTCCTTAGTTATCCCTCACTGGCTTCCTGGCTCTCCGTCCAGCATCCCAGGCATGTCTTACCCCAGGGCCTTTGCACCAGCTGTTCCTTCTGCCTAGACCTCCTTTCCCCAGGCTTGCTTTCTCATCTCCTCCTCAGGGAGGCCTTCCCTGACCACCTTATTTTACTGATAATAAGAACCCCCCAAGCCCCTGTGCTGATGATTTCCATAGTTCTTTTCACCACCTGCCAGAGGACAGTCTTTAGGCCTCTGCCTTCTCTGGTATGTCTCCAGAGTCTAGAACAGTACCTGACACACACCGGGTATTCAGTGAAGAGACTTTGAATGGATTCCTTGAACTGGGTGTCCCCAGAAGCCCATGGAGTCAAAACTGTTCCCCTCTTCACTTTCCAGAGGAAGAAGGCTCAGAGAGGTGATCGCACTCGCCCAAACCTCACAGCCAGATACAAGAAAATCTGGTGTTTGGGGGGCACTTAGAGAACCCTCAAATCAGCTGCTTATTTTCTAAGCAAGTCCCAGCCTTCTTTCTCTCCCCCACCCCGTACTTCCTACCCCAGGATTTTCCGAGCCCCTGGCCTGCTGGGGAGGGGCCGTCTCTGTTAGCCTCTCAGGCCGAGCACACGCAAGATTCAATCAATACAGGGCTGTCTTCAAACAAACAGCTCAGGAAGTCCGGAACACGATTCGACCGCAGCAAACAAGTGAGCCAGCAGGAAGGGGGGGTGGCGGTGACACCAGCCAGGGAAGCTAAAAACAGATCCAGACCTGCAGCCAAAAGCAAATGGAAACATTAGGAGGCACTCAGCTGGCTCCCTGAGGACAATAAGGGGGACACAGCCCGAATGGGGGGCCGAGGGGGGCCACAGGGGTGCACCGTTGCCTCGGCTGGGCCCTCCGCCGGCATGGCCTTTCCTCTGCTCCCCAAACCTGCCCAATTCAAATCCCAGTCAACTCCTACTTCTTCGTTCTTCAAAACACGCAGCAAGAGAGAGGTGGTCCTGGGGGGTGGGGGCGGGGGGGCGCCGCTGCCCAGCAAAGTGACTGCCAGAATGAGAACAGTTAACGTGTGCAGAACTCGCTGTATGCCTGGCACTGCTCTTGACCTATTGATTTAATTGTCCTGACAACCCAGGGAGGTAGGTACTGTTACGATCCCTCTTACGCAGAGCCCGATGTGGAGGTCACCAGCTCAAGATGAGAGAGTTGGGACTGGCCCCCAGGCCCCTGGCTCTAGGCTGCAGACTCTGTTCTCCACTCCAGTGGGCCTCTGTGCTCCTGTCTGTGAAATGGGCACCATGCCAGCCCCGGCCGTGTGGGGGCGGGGGTTGGGCCGCTGTGGGCATGGGGCAAAAGGGGCTGTGTCCATGTCCTGGGGGTCTGCGTAGGCCACTCCCACACTGCTGTTCTCCACCTGAGAAACCCCTCTCTAGGCAGCAAGCCCGTCATTCGGTGGGACCCCGGCACCTTGCTGGCCCCTGGGGACCTCTCCCATCCTCACTGTCTCCATGGAGAATAGCAATAAGCCTGGCATGGGCCCCCCAGGTTCTGATGAAATGAGCAAGACTGAGTGTTTGTAACCTGGATTCACATCCCTCCCTGACCTCTAAGAAGCCCCTGCCCGCTGCTCCCCAGGGCTCCAAGAAAAAGCCAACATGCCCTCTGCAGCCCACAAGGCCTGAGGGATCTGACCCCTCCCCACCTCTCTGACCTCTTACCATCCCCCCAACTCCTCTTCAGCAGCAGTGAACTCCCCCTGTTCTTCTAACGGGCCAGCAAGCCCACCACCCATCGCAGGACCTCTGACTACATCTTTCTTACTCTCAGCCTTCTGTGTAATTCCCCGCCCTCTTCCCAGAGGTCTTCCATGGCCTCTCTTACATCTAGTCACCCCCCACTCTCCCCATGCCGTTTCAGTTCCTTGAAGAACATCTAACACTCTCTGGATGTTTCCTTGTCCGTGCACTGATTACTCATGGTATCGTGCACTGATTACTCACTCTCTGGATATTTTCCTTATCTGTGAGCTGATTATTCATGGTAAGCCTCGTGCTCAGTAGATCATCAGTTTCATGAGGACAGAGATTTGTGTGCCTGGTTCATAGCTCTCTCTTCAGAACCTAGAATAGTGCCAGACACACTGTAGATTCTGAGAATATTTGTGAGATGGATGGATGGATGGATGGATGGATGGATAGACAGGTGGGTCGATGGATGGATGGAAAGATGGACAGATAGATGGATGAAAGCATGGGTGGGTGGATGAATAGATGGATGGAAGGAAGGAAGAAAAAGATGGATGGATGAATGGATGGATAGATGGATGGATGGATAGAAAGATGGGTGGGTGGATGGGTGGATGGATGGATGGATGGAGGAATGCGTAGATGGATGGACAAACAAAACTTCCTACTTAAGCCAGAAGTGCTAGGGAAAAAAACAACATGGACCAGGGACAATTCTGTTGTACTGTCCCTCCCCCCTCCTCCCCCCAGCCACCAAAGTGTTATCACTGTATGGACCTGTGAAATGAAAGACAGATGTAGCTCAGCTGTGACATTTCTTAATCTCCTCTCTCCAGGCACCTCTGGCCCTCCCCAGATTTCAGGGCCCTCTTTCCTTTCCAAGAATTAAGACTGTGACGTTAGCTCCGTGGAAAATCGCCTCCAACCCTCAGGCCAGGGAGGAAGCCCCAGGGTAAGTGGAGAGGCAGCTGGGGTCCAAGACACTTGGGTGTGTGGGAAGATGGGATAGGGGGAGCAGAAGGGAAACACTGGTCCTAGGAAATCGACAGCCCTTCTTCAAACTCTCTCCACTGCAGAAACTCCTAAGGGAAAACTCCCACTGCGCCTGGGGGGCCCATGATTCCCTGCCCAGGCATGGGGGCCGGTGAGTCTGCTCCACCCCAGCCCCAGCCAGCTTCCCTCCCTGGGTCTGGCCCTGCCTTTCCCCCAACCTGGCTGTGATACATCTAACCCACCTCTCCTTCTGCCTCGCAGGGCCCCAAATGTACTGCTAAAGGGAGCCCTGGGGCTAGAAGGGGTTTGTGAATAATAAACTGCCAAACCTGGTTGTCCTCAGATGTATGGAGAAAGTTCAGCCGTCACCAGGGGGCAGCTTGACCCTGGGAATGGGGGTCCCTGAGGCCTGATCTCTGCCCCCCATTAACCCAGGGGTCTAGAGGGGTGAGTGGGGGACCCAGCTCTTCTGGATCCAGGAGTCTAGGCTCCCAGCCTCCTCCCTCAGACCCAAGAGTCCAGAATCCCAAGTTTTCAGAGAATCAGGCAGCCATCCCTCTTTCCCCACTAATGCAAACGAATTTTCTGGAACCAGATCTAGATATCCAAGTACGAAGTCCCTAGTCAAAAAGACCCCACATTTCTTTAAGAGTAGTGTACCTGATCTTGCCCCAGTGTTCTTATTCCTCTTTTCTCTCCATTCCACTCTGGGAGAAGGATTCCAGTGATTTCCAGTCCAAATCAAACTGAGGAAGTGTCTCCCCACCTCATCACTAATCTTGGAGGGACCCAAGCTTCCCTTCACTTCAGTTTAAACCAGTCCGCACCCCCAGAGCCCAGCCCCATGCCCAGCCCCAGGTGCATATAGCAGTAATCACTGCCCCTTGGTGCCTCCCAGTCCGGTGGGAGACAGGCTGTGATGACACCAGAGTGGGCAGGGTTGGAGGGGTGGGTGGGGGTGAAATGGGGAGGGAGGGTGCCACAGGAGCCCAGAGTGGACAGCTGGGCCAGCCTGGGAGGTCAGGGAGGACCTCTTGGAGAAGGCATCCGAGCTGAGGCTGAAAAGAAGAGGAAAAGATTTCCGAGTATCAAGGGAGCATGGAAGCCCCCACCGTAGATTTGTCCCAAGCAGCAGAAGCCACCGCTGGAGCAGAAAAAGAATTCACTGAGAGGACGTGCGATCTCTCACAGATTCCCGGGAGCGATTAGAGATCCAGGAGGGGAAAGTAAGCTGAGAAAGGGAAGGGATCTACTGGCAGCGGGCTCCGGCTGTAGCCCTGCCCCCATCACACCATGGAACTGGTCCGATGAGAATACAGTGATGGCCCGATGACCCCTGGACAGCAACCGGCCACCTTGTTGCCTCTGCCACCCCAGCATCAGGCTGAGGTTGCTCTTCTCACCCACGGTTGCTCGGAACGAATCATGCCAACACTTAGTGGTGACGCCAACGTCGTGGAGACTGTGGGCCGGGATTTGGGGATGCGCTCAGGTGGGTGGGACTGGCTCAGGGTACAGTCAGGTGGTGTTCTGGGCCAGGGCCTCTGGGGGCTGGACAGAGGGCTCTCTGCGGTCAGACCTCTCCATGTGGCCACCACACTAGCTAGCTTGGGGTTCCCCGCAGCATGGCTGCCTAAGGCAGCCTGACTGCTTGTAGCGTGGCTGATGGCTTAGTGGAGAGTCTCCCGGTAACCCAGGCAGAAGCTGCATGGCCTTTTCTTTTCTTTTTTTTTTTTTCAAGATTTTATTTGTTTATTTGCCAGAGATTGAGAGCACAAGCAGGGGGAGCAGCAGGCAGAGGGAGAAGCAGACTCCCTGCTGAGCAAGGAGCCCAACGTGGGACTCAATCTCAGGACCCTGGGATCATGACCTGAGCCAAAGGCAGACGCTTAACCGACTGAGCCCCCCAGGTGCCCCCGCGTGGCCTTTTCTACCCAATCTTGGGAGTCCTATAACATCACTTCTGCCACGATCTCTCTATGAAGAGTCAGAGCCATGGCATGGCATAGATACAAAAGAGGAAGGGACATAGGGTCCCCCTTTCCTGGGGAGTGTCGAGATCAGATTGTTAGAAGAGCATATGGAGGGGCGCCTGGGTGGCTCAGTCGTTAAGCGTCTGCCTTTGGCTCAGGTCATGATCCCAGGGTCCTGGGATGGAACCCCTCATTAAATGAATAAATAAAATCTTAAAAAAAAAAAAAAGGAGCATATGGAACGAGAAATACCGTTGCAGGCATCTTTGGAAAATAATGTGTCCCAGCTCCACAAGGGCGTAGACCAACCAGTCCCTGAATCTTAGGCATTATTAGTTCCTGATTCCAAGTACAGCAGGAGTTAGGGGCGCCTGGCTGGCTCCGTCGGAAGAACATGTGACTCTTGACCTAGCAACCCTGAGTTCGAGCCCCACACTGGGTGTGGATGTTACTTAAAAATAAATAAAGAGAAAACTAAAAAAAAAAAAAAAAAAGGTCTTATCTAAACTTTTGCTGCGTGCAGTAAACTGTTGTCCAGCTCAATGCAATCACACTGCCCTCCCCCCTCCAAGAGACAACAGGGGCTTTCAATAGTTACATTTTCCCGATGCAAATCTGGAATGACCGCAGAATCACCATTCCCCACCAAATGGGTCATGATCCCGTATTCCCCAAGCTGTGAAGTCATTGTAAAGTCAACCATCACACACTGTAAAGTAACGAGATAAAGGTACAGTAGTCCCCCTTATCCGCACAGGGAAGCTTCCGAGACCCCTCTCAGATGCCTAAAACCACAGACGGTAACCAACCCTAGGTATACTGTATTTTTTGACTACGGGCTTAGTACTTGGATATCTGTATATACCTATGTTAAAGTTTAATTTACAAGTTAGGTAGAGTAAGAGATTAACAATAATAAAATAGAACAGTTATAACAACATCCTGTAATTAGAGTTACATGAATGTGGTCTCTTTCTCAAAATATCTTCTTGTACTCAACTCACCCTTCTTCTTTTTTTTAAATTTTATTTATTGGGACGCCTGGGTGGCTTGGTCGTTGGGTGTCTGACTTCGGCTCTGGTCATGATCCCAGGGTCCTGAGATCGAGCCGCGCTTGGGGCTCCCTGCTCAGTGGGGGAAGCCTGCTTCTCCCACTCCCTCTGCTTGTGTTCCCTCTCTCACTGTGTCTCTCTCTGTCAAATAAATAAATAAAATCTTCAAAAAAATATTTTATTTATTTGTCAGAGAGAGAGAGAGAGAGCGAGCACAAGCAGGGAGAGGCAGGCAGAGGGAGAAGCAGGCTCCCCACTGAGCAAGGAACTCAATGTGGGATTTGAACCCAGGACCCTGGGATCATGACCCGAACTGAAGGCAAGACACTTAACCAACTGAGCCACCCAGCCATGCCTAGACTCACCCTTCTTGCAATGATGGAGAATAGATGCCTACGTGTTAAGGTGAAATGAGGGGCATGACACCAGCGTTGGGCTACTCTTGCCCTTCTGAAATATACGTCAGGAGGAAGATCATCTGCTTCCGGACAACTGTTGACCGAAGGTAACAAACCATGGAAAAGGAAACCGCCAATAGGCAGGGCAGCCACCGAGGAAATTAAGTCTTGTTAATTAAAATGTGTAAGTGTATACACATGAGACAGGAAGAATGGGATTGGGAAATTCATTTATTGCACAGATCTTGACTCTGCTGCTTATATCAAGGACGATACTAGGCGCTGGACATACAGTGGTAAATTTTGCAGAAGACAAACAATGAAAAATAAATGTGTGACACCGGTAAGTGTTGTAGAGGAGAAATGTAGTAGGGAAAGGAAAATAGAAATGGCTGGGAAAGCAGGAATCGCTATTTTAGATAAGATGGTCAAGGAAAACTGATGAGGTGATGTTGGAAAAGAGAGTTGAAGCAAGTAAGGGAGGGAGCTGTGTGGGGAAGAATGTCTAAGCAGAGGGAAGAGGAAGTGCAAAGGTCCTGAGGCCAGAACCCAGAGCATGCCTGACTTTGCAGAACAGCAAGGAAGCAAAGAGACCGATGTGGCAAGAACAGAGCTGGCAAAGGGAAGAGAAAGATGGAGTCAGGGAGGTAATGAGGACCAGATCGAGGACCTTATGAGCCATGGAGTAGATTTTAGCTTTTCCTGAGAGGTGCCCTGGAAGGACTCTGAGCAGAAGAGTGCTGTCGGTTGATTCACACTTTAACGGGATCCCTCTGGCTGTTTTGTGGGAATAAATTATAGGGACAAGGGCAGATGACGTTACAGTACTAGTTTCTGCAAGTCTTTGAGGGACCGTGGCTAGTATTTATGCCTTCCTTCATGCACACTCCATACAGTCCTTCCCCTTCGCCCAGAACCTTGGCTGTTTGGATTCTTGAGGAAGGTGGAAGTGGGAGTGTCTGCGGAGAGGGTGCCTACCAGAGTCCAGCCCAAGCAAGTAGGTGTACAAGCAGGAGCCAGAGGAACTGGGGAGTGGGTGTCCGGGGTTGCAGTGTGTGAACTTGTCCCCGGGAACACTTGGAGTTGTATTTGTCCATGAGTGAGTCTGTACCATGTGTCCCACGATGATCCAGGAAGCCTGCATGCTCCTGACTCCTGAGCCCTGCAACTTTTCCCTGAGCACCTGCTCCATGTCAGGCCTTATGCAGGGGACACAGCCGTGACCGACAGAGAGAGCTGCAGCCCTGCCCCCATGGACCCGCGGTCCAGTGCGGGGAGAGATTAATCCACAGACAGTATGACCCAAAATGTGCAGGACTGGGTTAGGGGAACCTAGAGGGGGCCTTTGACCTAGCCAGGGGAGCAGGGAGGCATCCTGGAGGAGGTGATGATGTAGCTAATACTAAAGGGTTCTCTTTCCCAGTATAACAATTGCTTTCCTGTATCACTGATGAATCAAGTAGCCTTGACCAGTGTGACCAATAACTCTCAGGCTGACATGTAATCTAAGCCTTCCTTCTGAGCCCGATGGTCAAAGCCATCTTACCAGTGACCCCCATTCTGGCCAGTGTCCAGGACTAGCTACTCCCTATAACCAGTGACATCTCTCCCCTCCCCCGCTCCCAGAGGATTTTGTCCCAGTCAGACCCAGCTTGTGAGAAGCCTTGAGCAGTCGGAACTGTGACCCCTCCCCCCATCTGACCTGTGACCCTTCCTTCTGACCCTTCCTTCGGACCCCTGGCT